GTGGCTAACTTCCCATGAAAGAGCCTTCCTTGCTTTTGGCCTTAACTCCTTATTTTTGATAAAGTCACTGCTTTTTCCTTCACACGCCCCAAAAATAGATAATCTATAACCTCACACTGGCGTCCATTTCAAAACTTTCTTCACATCTCTCTTGCAAATCAACAGGTCATTGATGGACGACCTTATTGGATAGAGATGGCCGGAAATCTGATCCCAATCCTAAAAACTGGTCAGCAATTGCACTTGGATGTACGCGCGTTTCAGGAGAACCGGCTTACCTTCCCGATCAGAATTCGAGAGCCAACTATTGATGGTACCTCACCACCAGGCACAGGGAAGCTGGCCTTTTTCCGAGAACCTCGCAGTGGCAAAATGGAGCCTTCGAGCCTCCGACCGATTACCACCCTCGAGGTCCGGTTACCAGGCCTTAGTGTCGACCTGTTACCATGTGAAGCAGAAGGTGAACTTATTTCTTTTAAACACTTCTTTTTCAGTAGGCCTCAATGCTTTACTCTCTCAGGTCTTTCGCCTCACACTTTTAGTAGTTTAGTTTGATACTGCACATATGTTGAGTCTTTCTAGCCTTAAAATGCCTAAGACCCGATCTATTTAACTACTGGGCAGCATAGCTCATATCAACAAATCTTGGGCTGTCTTCCATTCGAGCTAGAGGGCTATATATGGACTTGAATGCATACAAGTGGGTTGAACTCGTTTTTTCAACTTGGTCTTATTGTCAAGGCGATTTAATTGAACGCATCTTGTTCGAAGTCCTCTGCTATAGTGGATAGCATAATTCCCAGCATCAGACCGTGGGCTTGATACATTCTCAGATGTTTCGCCGGTATCATAGTCGGCATCATCAGTGAGTCCGCCCATTCTCCGCACCAAGCTACAAACTCATCAAAACAAGGTCAGCCCACTTCTATAAATGGAAAGGATAATTTGATCATACTGAGGGCCACACCATCTTGGTCTTCATATCTTTGATTAAATGCATGAACTCTACGCCTTGCGACTCAACACGTCCTTCTTGTAACCATTCATATATCCCATAAATCTTATGTATATCCATAAGTAAAAAGGTGATCTCTCATCAACATTGCTTTCTGGCCTCCACCAGTGGCCACTTAATAGTCAGTTGCTGAACAGACATAGTCAACTGACATCGAATGACTTTTAAGGTGCATGATTTTTAGACTAACACATTTTTTTAGCTTTTCCCAAGCTTTTATACTACTTTTTACTGTATGTTTCCCCTTTCATACCTAAACTTTAAATCTGGCAGACATTGCAAGGTCTGATTTGGACTACAATTTTCTGGCCTGCCATATTGGCTCAGATTGGCCAAGACTTGCGGCTGCACTCGGCTTCAGCGTTGGTGAGATCCAAGAAATGCAGACTCAAGTTCTCAAATCTGGTGCTATCGGAGAGTCCGCGGAGGTCGAGAGGGCTAAGCTGATGATACTTCGTTGGGAATCGGTGAAACGCAAAGAACCAGAAAGCCCAGCACACGCAGCCTTAGGTCAGAATCAAATGATTGCCTATAAATTCATCTGGAGTTGCAATAAGATGATGAAAATGAGCTAGATTTGTATATACTTCTCTGATTATTACAGAAATGCTAGCTCGAACCAGGGATGATCTTGTATAATTATGTGAAATCAATTGTCTCGTTTTACCATAAAATAAAAAATTAATCTGAGGAAGTAGTATAAGGATCATTAATATATAATTCATTGTGAGTCATAACTCTTGGCTGCCATGACTTAGAATTTAATAAATCCATCTTGGTAAAGCCCAGGCAATCCAATACTTGGTGGCTTAAATATGCTTAGAACAGAAATCTAAATGAATTGTAATTGAGGTCCTAAGTTCTGATAATACTCCGGTTCAAGGGAATCCCCCTGACTACATGCTTAATCTTTTTTTATTTTGCTTGTAATACGCTAGTGGCATTGAGCTTGCGAAAGTAAAATGATTTTTGCTCTGTTAAGTTGAATCACTTTCTTTTAATCCCTTTGGCATTTTGTAATAATACTTTATTTGTTAGGGTCGGTCCTTGAATCACTTTAAACGACCTAGGAGGATTAAGTTATTCCAGAATTAGCGATAGTCACGAAAACTACTTATACCGAAAATAAGTAATGTCTTCAATTCCGCTATAAATTGCTTTGAGAGATAAATGACTCACTTTGATTGCCACATCCGTCTTGTTACCCACTGGCACCAGTGACCGTGTAGGGGAGTGGAGGTTTAATATCGCCATGGTATCTAATCCAAGCGCTAGAGCTAACAATTTTTTGCAAAAGATTTTCTTTTATGTTGGCAAATTGGCAAATGTGGACAAAAAAGGACGTCTTATTACAGAAAACAACTTAGGCCAATTGTAAGAGTGAATAAATGTTTGCTTATTCAACAATCCCACTAAAAATGTGAAATTGGATAGGCCTGGCTTGCCTCAAATGTTTCGCCCGCTTTGTGATCTATTGGAAAATGTGGCCATACAGTGTATTGTAATACTAGCAGGGCCTGGATACTCAAGATCCGGATCGAATCTCGCTGAGAGTGTTTCTGAGGCCTAGTTGTGGTTGAAACTGCAATCCAGCCTGCATGAGATGGCCTTTTGGGAAACAAGACTAAATGAAATTCCACAGCATTGTGAGGCTTGCTCATATCATTTTGGGAAATCTCAATTATCATTCCTTGAATCACCTTGATCCAACTGGGGTGAATTAGGTCTTATTCAAGAATACAGATTTATTGGCTTGGCTTAGGATTCTTAAATCATTCAGAGCTCTTAACCGGCTGGCATTGGCCTCTTGCGAGCTCTTCTAATGCATTCTGTTGGGTCGTATCAACCAGAGGTAATAAGAATACCCCCGTAAACTCAATGAGCTCATTCTTTCTTACGAGAGTATTATCTTGAGCTGTTCACTCATCTTGCTCAGGCATAAATCTATATCTGCACTACATTTGACTGCGTAAAGTTGTAAAGACGGCAAAACATTTTTATTGCAAATACTGAGGAATACTGAGTTTCAAATAATCTCGTTATGTAGAATAGAACTAATAGGTTGGAATAGATGTGGTCGGACTTCGTTCCCGCAATTTGGCCTTGTTGTCAGGGCGACTTAGTTGGACGCAACTTGTCCAATGTTCTCTACTATGGGAGGTGTCATATTTCCAAGCGTCGGACCGTGGACTTGGTACATTCTCAGACGTTTCGCAGGCATCGTAGTCTCATCGTATAATAAATATTACAGCAGAGGCTTTCGGACATGGTACGCCCAACTAAGTCACCCCGACAGCAAAATCGAGTTGCGACAACGAGGTCAGACCACATCTATACTTCTAAAGGAGACTGCGACCAAAGTAGAGGCCACAGCATATTGGTCTTCGTATCTACTTCTAATATATTTGAGCTTAAATCTGTGTATCTACATTGAAATATTTTCAATTATACTAAAGGGGAAGCATGCGATTTCACATTTTTCCCTATTTTTCTTTGTCGAGAAGTCAGAATAGTTAGCACACATCAAAAAATTGCATTCTCCTATCCCTTTCAGTGTAGAAATTAAGGTCAAATTGAGGAATATATTAATTCATAAACTTCTTGTTTACAGTGTCTTTTCTCTCGAGGAAGCCACTCTTCCACCTGTTTATAGAATGCAATCCTTGAGAACTTGGCTCTTCTCCATAGGACTGTGTATTAAATAGATACATAACAGTACTTTATTCACCGAAAGCAGACCTCCTTGGGACTCTGGTTGCTTTTCCAGCTGTTTCATCGCTGTATTGTTAAAATCTAACGGGGTAGCTACATACTCGTCACAATTAGACTGTCATGGAATCCTTTTTT